AAGGGGAGAAGGATATCTTTGACTTTGATAACATGAGATATAGCTCTTCTCAAGAGGGGTTCATGAGTTTCAAAGGGCATGTTAGGAACTCTCGAAAGGACACTCGTTTGTGTGATTTCATGAATGGAATAGATTGGGCAGGTCCTGAATCCTATATGTCCTCATTATCTTGTGGTGAAAGGGTAAAAAAGACAAAAGTCACTCAATCTAGCTTTCAAGATAAGAAGCAGCCAAGAAGAAGAAGCCATTCAGCTCCACCATCTTACAGAGGGAAGAGAAAGTTTATTGCTTTAAACAGTCAGATGAGTGTTAAATCAGGGAACTCCCAATTTGAGACACTTCATAATGCATCTTTACAAGGTGTTTTCTGAACTTAATCTCTATATGACATGATATGGAAAGCTAACTCTTATGAATTATGATTTTGGTGTGCAGAAGCTAGTGATCTGAGACATGTACAGAAATCATCAGGTGCAGATCATTTGCTTTTGAAGGAGGGTGAGGGTCCCACTAAGGCTAGGTAAAATCATCAAATCTTGTGTATATGGTGGATTGAATCTGCATATTTGGTTTCATGCAGTTGTTTTTTTTTTTTTTTTTTCTTTCTAGACACGATAAGAAGAAAGTTATTGATAAAGCTGAGATTTCAGATTATGAAGGGGAGGCTGACCATTGCCTTGATGTATTCAATACAGATTCAGGTATCTCTCTTGTTAATTTCAGGAATAGTTATGAAGAGAAAACATGGTGATTATTCAAATCTTAGACTATTAATCTCCTTCTTCAGACTTCACCTCAAGGGACAATGAAGGTGCATTAGATTTTGGGGAAAAATGGAGGAGTGGCTATCCATCGGATTCAGTTGAGTGCCTTTGACAAATATTATATATAAATTTGGAATTTGTGATTATTATTTGTTTGTTTATTGACAGAGTATAGAGAAGAAGGGTGATGAGGATAAAATACTTGACATATCTTCTGGGATATTACACCTTTCTGGTGATTCTCTTACACTTACACCCAAGTCTATCAGTAAAAAATGTCTGGATGATTCTAAAGTCCTTCAGCAAGTTGACAAAAAATTCATTCCAATTGTGGGTGGTGGAATACTTGCTATTATTGATCAGGTATTATTAACTCTTCTCGATCTTCTTTTTCACTTTCATTTCATCTTCTTTTCTTTAACCACTTGTATGGTTACATTTTCAGCATGCTGCTGATGAAAGAATACGACTTGAAGATTTGAGAAAAAAGGTAAAAAGAAAAAAAAAACTTGAGCTTTCAAATGCCACATAATATGTCATAAATGACAAGCAAAATTTTATAGGTGCTTTCTGGAAAAATGAAGACAATATGCTATTTGGATGCAGAGCAAGAACTGGTATGCTCTACTTTGCAATCAATATTCAGTTATGAAGATTTGTTTTTTTTTTTTTTTTTTTTATAATTTATATATGTGATGTAGGTTTTACCTGAGATTGGGTATCAATTACTGATCAATTATTCTGAACAAATCAAGAAATGGGGTTGGATTTGTAACTTTCATGCTCAGAGTTCAGTGTCCTTTAAGAAGTAATCAAATTCACCTACTTGAATTTGATAAAACTTTGCATTTCTTTTTTTAATAATTTCTGGAGGCTTTCTTTTTCTTTTTTTGCACAGGAATCTGAATTTTCTACACAATCAGCCATCTGTTGCTACACTCATTGCAGTAAGTTGGATATATCAAAAAAACTTGGAAGAAAGAAACACTAAAAAGAGGTTTTTTAGTTGTTAACTAAAAATAACATATCCATTTTTTATTTGGCATACAGGTGCCATGTATTTTGGGTGTGAATTTAACCGATGCAGATCTCCTAGAATTTCTAAAACAGGTTTTTATCTTTTAAATATATGGTTGAATAATTCTTTTCATTGTACAATAATTAATATAATATAATATAATATATATATCAGCTTGCTGATACTGATGGATCATCTATACTACCACCAGCTGTTGTTCGTGTTCTAAATACCAAAGCTTGCAGGGGTACAGTATAGTCCTTAACCATTCATAAAATGTCTTAATAAAGCTCTTATAAAGAATCATCAACATATGTTTGTTACTTTTATTAATTATTTTAAATAAATAGGTGCAATAATGTTTGGTGATGCACTACTCCCTTCAGAATGTTCTCTTATAGTTGAAGAGCTGAAGAAGACTTCATTGTGTTTTCAGGTGAGAGTTGATAAGTATTCAAAAAGAAACTTGTTAATATTATTATAATATTATTCTCTTTAAGCCTTTGGAGTTGTGGTATTTTAGTAAAAATGGTGAAATGTGATTGTAGTGTGCTCATGGAAGGCCAACAACTGTGGCACTTGTGGACATGGTGGTGCTGCATAAACAGATTGATAAGCTTGGAAACTGTAAGGGTGGTGGTTCATGGCATGGGTTGAGCCGACATAGACCAAGTCTCGAGCGTGCAAGTCAACGGTTAGGTCAATGATAAAGCTACTGAAAATATAAACATATCTTTCCATCAAATCTTGTCTTTTTAACAAATGAATTTCATGTTTCATGTTGCATCTACTTTTAGAGAAATAAAAACATGTTCACTTCTTTTGGCGTTTTCTATTTTTCCATTTCTTATATGAGAACCATTAGGGGTTGAACCGTCTATAATTTGTAATTGGATAAATCATATCATCTTTTTTTTTTTTTTTTTTTTTTTTTTTTTTTTTTTGATACATGTATTGCTGTATATATTTTTAAATTAATATATTACGAACATATCAATTGATATTAATTACTGTGAATGTCATTATGCATTCTAAATTGGGAAATCTTCACGAAACTCCTTATATTCTAGAGTTATTAACAATAAAGTTGTGACTTCATTTTTTTAACATAAAATGACAAAATACTGGTAATTGTTTACAGAAAATGACAATAGTTTACACATTTAGGATTTTAGTTGGCATTTTTTACAATAGTTTACACATATTTTTTATGACTACTGGTTAAAAACCAAGATTATTGACCAAAATCCAAAATGTGTAAATGATTGTTGGTGTCTTGTAATTCTCTATAAACAATTTATCAGTTTTTTGTTATTTTCTGTTAAAAAATAAATAAATAAATAAATAAAATGTTTTTACTATATAGGACTTTTCTGAATTTTGTAATTTGTGGTGTGAATGCTTTATTTTTTTTATATTTGATTCCTAATGTATTAAAATGAAGATTATGTATACCAATAAGAGATATGATGTAGAATTGTAGATATTGAATGTAAAGATTCACTTTTTACCAATTCTAATAGGTGAAAGCCACGTTATGAAATTTTGTAAATTGATCTACAACTTACGGATTAATAAAGTAATAATGCAAGCTCTCATTTTTGCACCACTAACGAGCGAGATTCGTCTAAAAGGTGTGTAACGGTTGAACATGATTTGTTTGAGGCTTAGGTGTCCCTCATTATTAAAAAGTCATGTGCTTCCAAAGACCAGATCTATTGCAAAAAATTAAAAAAAAATGGGTCCCACTTTTAATTCAAGGGTGCCGATGAAGTCCACGTGGCTGGGAGCCACTCTCATCTCTTTACTAATAGGATTTTATTTTGTCGTTTCCAACAGTTGTACCAAATCAGGTTCATCAAACCCGGTTTCCTTTTCTTGCAATCTCCGGATCAGCCTCATTAATCGCCATGTGTCTTCACATCACTGTCTCTCAAGTCTCACCTTTTCCCTTAAATAGCCCCTCGTCTTTTTACATTCCACATTTTAGTCCCTCTATTTCTATAAAACTATGCGACAAACATTATAATGGTGAGTTAAGATATTTGATGAATTGACTAGACTGATATGACCAACAAAGTTGTCAACTTCAAATATCCTAGATTAATGTGCATTAAATCACAGACACAGTAATTTGAATCTTGGTATATATAGGAAACTAGAATTTTGGTCATGATCAATAATTGTAAAATGAATGAATTGCGAGGTGAGTGTGAGTTGACCAAGTCAAAGTCTAATTCAACTTTGACATCACGACATACCATGAGACGATTTTCTTTGTTCTTTAGCTTTTGTTGGCATCAAACCATGACTAGAAAGATAGTGTATATCTTGCTTTTTGTTTCTTTCTAATTTTAATAAATAATTTAGAAGGTTATATGTATCCAAAATGTATTTGGGGATTCTCTCATTCCATTTTAATTTTTAGGTATTTCACTATTTAATATAGATGACATATAAGAGAAACATATATAAAAACAACAACTAGCGCCGGTTCTGAAAAATTAAATATCATCAAAGGCCCAAAACGAACTAGAAAAAATGATCTTTATTGTTCTTATAAGCTTTTATTTTTGAATAAAAATATATAATAAAAAATTAAACCTTATGTAGCTGCCCACTTTGCACCCACCTTAAAGCCTTCCATAACAACAACAATAACATTACCATAATCTCATATAGATAAGACAAGGAGGAATGATGTAGGATGGTCGGCAATTCTATCCACAAAATTGATAGTCTACTTCCGTAAAAGATTTCCACCATAGATAAAACATATATAAAAAAAATCAAGCATATTTATAAGTGAACTGAAAATTCTTATTTTATCCATTTGGCCACGAGAGATTTGTCGACTTCAAATATTAAAAAGTTACTGATAAAAATTTGAGATAGTTACTAATCAAAAATCATTCATAACATATTGTAATGGCTACTAATAGATAATGGATAATGTAAAGAGAAATTTCTACATAAATAAGAAAATATTATATTATTTATATAAACAACTCAAAAAAGATCTTGTATATTTTTCTTAGACAAAAAAGTATCAAAATGATTCATTTAGAACAATCATAAAACCTTAGGGCCTTGGAATTAAATTGTTAATGTTTTTGAAGGCACATTATGGTTTATGTATTATTACCTAAAGGGGTAAATTGAAACATTTGATCAAATAAATACAGAATATCTCGGATGATGTCTTTTTCTCAAATTATAAAATCCTGAAAGAAATTAGGAAAAACTGTAAGCAACCGTTCTACGACTACTTCACGGCGGTTTAAACTAAGCAGCAAGCACACATTCTTCAACTCTCCCTCTCCGCCGGACATCTCCTATTTTCCTCCGGCAGATCGTAAATTAATTGCTTATTTATCAGCAGATCGTCCTGAAGTTCCTTAAATTGAAGTTATTGGTGTTGATTTGGGAAATGTTCGTCAAAAAGCTAGTCGAAAAGGCTTCGTTGAAGAAGGTAACGTTTGTTCTCTGGTATCTTTTGTTTATTCGAGCTTTATCTGTTAATTATCAAAACCTAGTGATTTTTATATTAATCTGAGATGTCGTGATACATATCTGTGTGTGATATACTGAAACGCTCTTGATTATACTGCCGATTAGTGATTATCTTAGTTTCCGATGAGTTATGAAGTTCTAAATACAGGTTTTTGGATTTAAACTTAGATCCAGAACTTCTCCCCCGTCCTGATCGCTGATCGATTTTACACTCTCATTTCGTTTGGATTCATTTTTTTTTTCCTGTTATGAAAAAGCGTGAAGGATTATGAGTGCTAATTGGGGGAACTATCAGTGAATGATGAGTAAAACCACACTGGAAATGTTAAGGAGCTGATTTTTTTTTTTTTCCCTTGTTATCAACCGGAATTCTTCTTTTCAACATTTTGCAGAATTCCAGTGTCCAGATAAATTTCAAAAATTAAAAAAAAAAAATCCGAGGGGAAAAAAGATTGGAATACTGAAATAAATTTTTAAAGGGGTAAATCCGTAAATGTGAATGCATTTTGATATATTACTATACTTGGTAAAAGTCTGAGTTAATATTGTTTTAAATAGCAAGAATTTAAACACTGTAATTAAATTTGTAATTTGTTAGCTAAATGACATAATTGGCCACCTCATAATCAAAACAGTCAAAACATGTCTTTTTCTTTGATAGAAAAAAAAAAACATTAAAATATACTTAATCTTTAATTAATCCTCACCTGATCCACAAATTCTCATACGAGGAAAAGTAATTGAATTTTCTATTGGATAGCTTATTATATCATTTTTACCGACAATTTAATTAGCTCTCCACATGGCAAGGTCTTAAAACCCAAATCAATACATTTAATAATATTATTATTTTATTATTTATTATTTTTTAATCACTACTCTCGATACTTGTACTGCAGCCTGGTGGAAATCCAGATAGTTTAAAATCCGACGATGTAAATCCACGCCCCATTTTCCATTATGGCCTCCCATCAGGATGCAATTTATTTGCTCATGATCCTATTCAGAAGATTCTTGCTATATCCACCATGTAACACTCTTAATACATCAAATGTTCTTAAAAATTCATTCAATATCTTCTGAACAAATAATTATTTACTTTTTAATTAGAGATGGCCGGATTAAGTTATTTGGACAAGATAACACTCAAGCTGTTCTGGAATCTCCGGATGCACTACCAAGCAAATTTTCGCAGGTGTGTAAATTATATAATTACCAAATTACCATTATACCCTCTTGTTTACTAGTTAGTTACTTTTTTATTTCCAGTTCATCCATAACCAACAGTTTCTTGTAAACATCAATGCAAACAATCACATCGAGGTTTGGAACATAGACTTGAAGTCATTGGCTCATGTTCATGTATATAAGGAAGAAATTACTTCTTTTACAATCCTTCAACGTACCTTTTACATGTAAGTATATAACAACTCTCAAAATCACAAAATCCATAACCATGTTTAGGGTTTATACAATTTTACAAGGGTACAATGATTATGTCATCAACAGGTATGTTGGAGACTCCATTGGTAATGTTTCAGTTCTCAAGTTTGACAAAGAACAATGTAATATAACACAAATGAAATACATAATTCCTTTCTCAGCATCTCATGGTGAGTGTGAGTCACATTTCTTTATAAAAATCCAATCTTGTTACATGTTTTGAATTATTATAATAAATTATATTTAGGTAATTCAACAGCTGATCATACCAATGCTGCTGTTATGTATATACTCCCTCAACCATCTGCTGAAAGTAAGAGGTGAGGTGATTTTCATTTTTCAAAATCAGTTTTCTTTCTAAACTTATACAAACTCTTAAAAACCTCAAGAAAACAAGAATCATGGCTCACAATCTTGAATCTGTTTCACTATTTCAGGGTTCTTATAATTTATAGAGATGGATTTGTGAGTTTATGGTCAATTCAAGAAAGCAAACCCATCTTTACAACTGGAGGAACTTTGATTCAGTCACTTAATCATGACACTAAAAAAGTAACAGCTGCATGTTGGGCTTGTCCTTTTGGAAGCAAAGTAGTTATTGGATACAACAATGGAGAACTTCTAATCTGGAGTATTGATGATAAGGAGTTAGGTGGGACCCAAACTGGTCCTCTGTTTAAACTAAATCTTGGGTATAAATTGGACAAAATCCCAATCTCCAAATTGAAATGGGCTTATGCAGATGGGAAATCAAGTCGATTATATGTTCTGGGCAATTCCGACTTTTCATCTTCAAACTTGTTACAAGTACTAGTAATTCATATAATCGATTCAACTTTTTTAGGGTTTTATTTGGTGATTGTTAGATTAATTGTTTGATTCTGTGTTGCAGGTTATTATAATAAATGATCAGATTGAATCTCGCACAACTAAACTAGGAATTGGAACACCTGAGCCATGTGTCGACATGGAGATTTTAGTCTCTTACAATGAACAAACCAAACATAAAGAAGATTGCTTTCTCGTTATTGGAAAATCAGGCCATGTTTACACATACGATGATTCTTCAATTGAAAAATACCTAATTCAATCCCAAACTAGGTCTCCACCATCATCACTTCCAAAAGAGATTAAAGTGAAACTACCATATGTCGACACAATCATCACTGTAGCAAAGTTCATCACTGACAATCCATGCATGTTAATGTTATCTTCCAATGAGGACTACATGTTGATGTCGAAAAAGATTCCTTCACTTTTCTCATTTGAGTCTAAGCAAAAAGACGGATCTTCATCTTCATCTTCATCTTCTACATCTGGTTTTACGAGTTTTTCAAATTTCAAAAACATATACATAACAGGACATAGCAATGGTGGTATAAACTTCTGGGATGCATCATCTCCACTTTTGATTCCAATTGTATCATTTAATCAACAAAGTGAAGATGATCAGACTTTAAGTGGTGTTCCACTGACTGCGTTGTGTTATGATATGGAAACAAGCCTCCTCATATCTGGAGATCAAACTGGAACAGTGAGTATATATCTATATATATATATATATATATATATATATATATATATATATATATATATATATATATATATATATATATATATCATATTGTAAAAATATGTTACATTTCAATTTAAAATTAATATTTTATGTCACAGGTTAGAATTTATAAATTTAAACCTGAGCCATATGCCATAGAGAGCAGTTTTTTGTCCTTACAAGCAAGTTCAAAGAAAGGAAGCAATATTGTTCAAAGTGTTAAACTTGTGAAGGTGAATGGAGCAGTGGTTTCAATAACTATAAGTCATGACTCTAAACATATTGCTGTGGGGTCAGATCAAGGATATGTAAGATATCATTTTTTTTTTTTCCTTTTTTTGCGCTTTTTGTAACTAATTTAACCTAAATTAAAAAATGATGAAGGTTTCAGTGATTGACATTGGAGGAGCAACTGTGTTATATGAAAGGCGTATAGCGAGTGAGATCTCGACAGCTGTCATCTCTCTGCAGTTTGGGATGTGCAGTTTGCATGGATTTGAGAAAAGTGTGTTAATGGCAGCAACAAAGGATTCATCAGCTTGGGCACTTGAAAGTGAAACAGGAAATATTCTCAATAATGGATCAGTTCATCCTAAAAAACCTTCTAAAGCTCTTTTAATCCAAATGCTAGGTAGTAAACAAATCATACTTTTTATTTTTTTTGTATTGTTCTTTATTTATGTGTTACAAATGATATATAGATGAGCAAGGGACAGCTGGCAGAGGATCTAATGCATCTAAGGGTACAATAGGAAATTCGTTTGATGATGGGATAGTGAAGGACTCATTGCTACTATGTTCTGAGAAAGCTGTTTACGTGTATTCACTTTCACATGCTGTTCAGGTTAGATTTTAGAACTTGAAGAATTAATTTTCTTGACATATTTTATACTCTTGTATACTCAATTTTAAATATAAAAATATATATATACAGGGAGTGAAGAAGGTTTGTTATAAAAAGAAGTTTAACTCCTCAATTTGTTGTTGGGCTTCAACATGTTGTTCTGATGCTGGCCTTGTTCTTGTTTTTACCAATGGGAAAATTGAAATTAGGTGAGTTATCTTCTTCATAGTTCATATTTAGATTTTGATTGAATAAAAAAATCGATAAACACATGATTTTGATATTATTTACCTTTTTCAGATCCTTGCCTGAATTAACCCTTTTGAAGGCAACATCCATAAGAGGCCTTGCACTTTCAACTTCAAAACCGAATTCCTTACCTGAAAGTTCAATTTGTGCTTCACACAATGGTGATATTATCATGGTAACATGCTTTTCATTTCAGAAATATCAGATTCTTTTAAATGTCACATAAACATTATTGAATTTGAAAACTTTTGTTGTATAGGTGAATGGTGATCAGGAAGTTTTTATTGTTTCGGTTTTACAACAAAGGGAAATATTCAGGTAATGCATAAATCAGTTGGAGATGAATTATTTCGTTTGATTTTTCTAATTTTTTTTCATGATTTTTTATTTGTCTTAGGCATTTAGACTCGGCTACCCGAGTTTATAACAAGGATCTGATAGTTCCACAAGGGATTCCAGTTGAACATGTCAAAGAAAAGAAAAAGGTGATTGCCATAATAAAAGCTTAGGGATTGTTCTCTATACACAAAGTTTGAATATGAGTAAATTACCATTTTACCCTAATGCAAACAGGGAATCTTTGGTTCTATGAAGAAAGTAAGCAAACCACAACATGAGCGGGAAACAGAACCGGAAGCTTCTAGAGAAAGCTTTGAAGAACTGTCAACATTATTTTCCATTGCTAACTTTGCATTGGAGAGTGAAAGCCAAGAAAACATCCACACAGATGAAGATGAGGTTGACCTGGATATAGGTAAGGTTTGACCTTTGTACAATGTACATTCATTAACATTTTGTTTTTGAATAAATATAAACAATATTTTTAAATCTTTTGTTGTAGATGATATTGACATTGATGGGCCAGAAGAGAAACCAAAAGGAAACACCATGATGGGAGCGCTTAACAAACAAAAGCTCACTAGTAAATTTAATGCATTCAAAGGTTAGTTACTTCAAGTCTTCAACTTAATATATCTTGAAAATAAGATTTTGGAGATGAATTTTTTACATTTTTTTTTTAATATACGAAGGTAAACTAAAAGAGATGAATGTGAAAAAGGAGAAAGTGCAAGTGAAGGAAGAACAACCACGAGATGATCAGAAAACCGGTTCTGTAGATCAAATCAAGAAAAAATATGGATTCAGCTTGACCAGTGTAATCTTAATTTATAAACTCCTGCTAAAATTGCATTTTATAGAAATATTATTGATCTGTTTTTTGCTGACGTGGCAGGAAACAAGTGCTGCTAAAATGGCACAAAACAAACTGAGCGACAACATAAGAAAACTCAAGGTAACTATTTAACTTTTAGGTAACATTCAAGACTGTTAAAAGTCAAAAAAAGTCAAAGGCAGAGACACTAATCATATGATTTGTCCAGGGAATCAATTTGAAAACAGCAGAAATGCAAGACAACGCACAGACATTTTCTTCAATGGCAAAAGAGATGCTGCGAACTGCTGAAAATAATGATCGAAGAACCTCATGATATCATCATCATATACATGTTTGTGTGTTTTTCTTTTGAAAGGTTTGTGTTTGATTCTTTAGAAACAGAAGTTGGTTTGGTGAATGTGTACAGAGTAAGAGAGAGATGACATTATTTTTTGAAAAGTTAAACAAGGTTGTGAGTTAATTGAGAATATATCTGATTCTTCATATCATCCCTATTGCTTGTTGTTAGAGTAAACACCTTCGCTCCTGGATGATTCTTCAACCTCGCAACTGCAGAAAACAAGAATCATACATTCTTCACACACAACATGAACAAAAGCATTTCCATGTCTGACTTTTTTTTTTTTTTTTTTTTTTTTTTTTTTTGATAATTAACGAGCATACCTGCAGGAATATCTCGACCATATTTTGGAACAGGGATTGTAGCTAGAAACGGTTTGTTAGACTCAAGAACACGCAACACTGCAGGGAAGAACAACGAACTGAAGAGCTCCATCTTTCCAACTTCATCAATCACAAACAGATCTGTATCTTCTTTGACCTGAAAATGAAATCGAAAATCAACTTCTTACTGAGAAATTGGAGATGAAAAGATAAACGAACCTGTAACTCAGGCAAAGCTAATGATTCGAATGATGCTACATCGACTCTGTATCTCCCCACAGTAGGCCATCTAATGGACTCTACACTGCCATGGAAAACTTAATTAAACCCTAATTCGACGTTGAATGATGAAAAGATATGAAGAAATGGTTACCTGGAATTGTTAATAGAAGCAAGTGGAGCAGTGCGACCATCTAACGTAACCACCTCAAAACCTACCCTCTCGCCTTCTTCTCTGATCTCACCTGTTTTGTATCCCAAATTTCATGAGTAAACGAAGGCGAAAATCAAAATCTATTTGAGCGATGGAAGTGTATGGAATGATAGAGCATTACGAGTGAAAAACCCTTGAATTTTCAAATTGGGATTGGAAGTTCTGAGATTCTCCAAAACCCTAGCGATCAGAGTGGTTTTACCCACGCCCTGCGGAGTCGAAGGTGTACAAAGGCGATTCAAGCAAATTCAGATTCAATTTGATTCATGAAGATATGGAATCAAATGATGAATGAGACATGGAATCTATACAACTTACTGGGGAGCCGGTGACGAGAAAACATTTAGCTGGAGCTGCCATTTACTCAACTGTTTCTCCCGGCAAGGCAACACAGAAAGTGATAAGTAATGAACTAATGATTTAAAAAGGGACATAATATTTCCAGTTGTTAAGTTGCTTCCACTTAAATTAAAATTAAAGTTTTTATCCTTTACAAAAATTAATTTGTTTTTCTTATTTATAATCAAACCGTCTCAAGTCTCATCTATCAATCCACTTAAACTGTGAGTTTTTTTTTCTTCCTATTTATCACTTACTAAAAAATCTAACTAAAAATTGTTTTCTTACTTATCTATGAAACCTACTAATTGATGCATCACAATAAGATGTAACGAAAAATGATATGTTTCAAACTAATGTATATCATACTAAAATATTCAAACTAATATATATCAAATCACAATAAATATACCAAAAAAATATTTAAATCATAAAATATTAAAAAAAACAAATAGTTATTAAAGATTAATGTGAAAACTACTGTTTTACAACAATTTAAAACTATAATTTTTGTAAATATTATTGTTTTTTTTTTCATATTATATATGTATCTTTAATTTATATCCAACTTTTTAAGTGATCATATGAAATTGAATAGGGTGAATATTTTTGTATCGTTAGACTTTTTTTTTTTTTTTTTTTAAAATATTATTATGATTTGAATATTTTTATTCAGCAATATTTGTTGTGATGGATTGTGATTTGATGTTTATTAGTTTGAACATTTTATTGTGTTTTTGAATAGTTTTAAGTGATGATATGAAATTGGAGTAGGTTTAATATTTTTGGAGTGTCAAACGTTTTTTTAACATGAACATTTTGTTACATATTATGCCTAGTGCCTAGTGGATTTGATGGATAAATAAGAGAATTAATAAATTAGAAAATAAATTATTTTTTTGTTAGATTTTATATTCCAAATGAAAAATAAGAAAAAAAAACTCACGTGTAAATGAATTGATTGTGAGAGGCATCCGGAAGTGTGTTTGATGATAAATAAGAAAACAAATAAATTTTTTGTAATTTATAAATAAGGGAAAAAATAAGAAACGCTTGAATGGGTTAAAGGGATAAGAGGTGGCACTCTCATATAACCCCGTAAAATTATATTCATACTTTTTTAAAGTTTTATATAAGAACAAAAATGTCAAAACAATTTAATTATATGTGAAAGTATCAACTCCCTTTTAAAAAAACTACTAAAGCTAAAACAATGATGTTAGGAGACAAGAAGTTTTTTTTTTATTGCTTTTTGTAAAAAAATAATTTTATTCGGGATTGGTGGTTTTTTTCCATGGTTAGCAGGGGCGGTTTTGTTATGGTGTCCGTAGTGATACCGATGACTAATATTTTCGTATACAGTGCAAAAAGTTTTAAATTTATTTCTTTCACTACCATGCTGCTATTTAAATTTTTCGTACCATTCTTATTATGAAATCATGCGTCTGTCCCTCCCCTAGTGACTAATTAGACACAATGGATTATTAAAAACAAAATATAAGTTTATTATTTTTTCATCATTTTTATTTAATTTGATGGTATTTTTAAAACATTTTAGATAGTTTGTTATCCATTTATATCATTAATATATTCATATTAATGCACAAGTAATATGCACAAGAGGTTTAGCAACAATATAGTTTACTGCATTTGGGTTTTTGCCACAGTTTTTTACTCATTTTCACACTTTTGGTCCCTGCTATACTCTTCCTCCGCCGCTTCTCCTCAATTCATTATGATGCAATCTCTTGTTGTTGCTTTTATGAACATTAACTTCACCGCCTCCATATTCTTATCAAAAACCACACCTTATGAATCTGCTTCGTTCATCTATGTCGTTCTCGAACCATAAGACAATGCCTCTCACTAGTTATTCATAAAGCATGTTCATATGTTTTTGTTTGAGGAAATGAAACAACATAAAAATTAAAAAAATATATATATATCAATTTCATTGTGTAACTACTTTAATATATTCTTTTTTGAAAGAGAGGGAACGAGGGAAGAGATAGTAGGTTGAAGAGTATTGTGTTTCTTGCAGTTGTCTTTGTAATCGTCCATGAATGAACGAAGGGAGTATATTAGGGAGCACGATGAGTTTTTTAGATCAAATTATATGATTGTAACATTTTAAGAATAAGTACTGAAAGATAATTATTCGAGTATATATGTTATATGCGTGGATATTTGACAAATATTATGTGAATATAATATTTGTGTAAAAAAAATATTTTAAAAACTTAATAAATATGGCAAAAACAAACGTTAAAAATAAAAAGATTATTTAGGATAAATAATCTTAACGAAAGTTGTAACGAACCTAAAATTATAAATTATATGTTATAAGATGTATTTGGTCTAAATACATTTAAGGGTGAACGCAAGTAGTGAAACAATAATTTTTCCGTTATACATTTTCGATAATAATTGATTAGGTACTTATTGTTTATAAATGATTTGAATAAGATTTTATTATAAATGATATACTGATTTTTATTAATAAATAGTTAAGAGACTATAGTGTAACTTGAATGATATATTGTGTTAATACAAAAATAACTGAAGGATCATAAATTTAACTATAATTGATTTTAAATTGCAAAACAACATACGTGTAAAAAATATAAGAAAAATGGTACATATTTTTATTAATTAAAATGATACGTGTTGATAAAAGAGAAGTAATAGTACACCTTCTAATTTAGAGTCAAGATAAGAATAATATGTGTTAATCTTTCAAGTATGTTCGTACACATCTAATTAATTGAAGTTATATGTGTAATTTTTGTAGGTGACTAATCTTTTGATATTGTACGAGCGATTAAAAATCCTTGATATAAATAAAGGTATCATTTGAGCAATTATTATGAT